GGAGCGTGGGCGAGTTTCCTCGTCGCAGGGGCCGTGGGGCCTGACGCCACAACGCCCCCGCTCTCTGAAGGTTCAAAGGTGTGAATAAGCCCGGACGCGGCCTTCGCCTCCAAAGCGGCCGAAACAGGACGCCTTGGAGCAGCTGACTCTTGTACTCACCATCCTTCCCCGTCCTACTCTGCTTTTCAAAATGCGGTCTGAACCATCGCATCAGATGCACCCGAGGCGGTTGTTAAAAGTGCAGAACCCGGGAGGCCTGCCCCCTGAAGCCCAAGGCTTGCGCCCATTCGTAGTTGAACACAAACAGTATACAAGGCGGAGGAGAACCGGGAAGGAGGCCCAGTCTCCAGGGAATTTAATTCCTGAGCTTTTGGTCGTCTCTTGACCCAGACTAGCAAAGCTGACTAATGTGAGACCGCACCCTAAAAGTACTGTGTGTGTTGACCCTGAAGGCTTAGTAAGACATCGCGATCCTGGTCATTTGGGCGCACTGAGTCATGGCCCAACAGATTTACTCCGTTATTAAATGTGAGTTAATCTGCTACGTGAGGCAAACAAGCTCTCTACTTACCACCGTTCCAAGTCCAAACTCTACGCCCCTGTAATTACTCAAATCAGCAGCTAGGGTTTTGTTGTTGTTGTTGTTTTTGTTGTTGGTTATTGCTCAGAAATCTTTGACACTCGCCCCAAATCGTAACTCTGAACAATATCTTATTTTCTCCACTTGAACCCCAGTTTATAGGCCAGTTGGAAAAAGAATGTAAGTATTGAAGAAGTTTTGGTCATGTCTTTGTAAAGTGTAGCTTTTCCTTCAAAGACACTAGTAAATGGCTCTTGGCAAGTCATCTCCATCCTTACTCTGTCCTTCAGTGCGTCTCTGATCCAGAGGGGGGTACCTCTACATGTTAACCTATGAAGAAGCTAGCAAGTCTCCCCAAAGGCATCACTCCTTCCTGGTGAAGCAGTCTTTACAGACCCTGCCTAACTACTTACAAAACCTATGTCATGTATTTGCATGCACTATTTGCCCCTAGCTTGATTTTATTTTTCCTTTAATCACTCATCTGTTAATTTTATGCTGTTTATATACTTACGTAAACCAACTTCAATTATTTTGATGCCAAGCCACGATGACAAATGATAAAATAAAATTAAGCAATGCCTTTATACTTTTGGTTAGGAAAACAGATATAAAGAGGACATAAACTTTGGATCCAGACTCCAAGCTCAGCCACACATTAACGGAGTGATCTTAGAAAATTACCCAAGTCCTCTTAGCCTTAGATTCTTTATCTGAAAATTAGGAACCTACACCATAGGATTATTGTAAGAATCAGATTGTTATCAGAAAAAAACGTAGGTGGTCTTTCTCCATTGCTAGTGGGAGTTGGGTTCTTGGGGTACCACTGGAATAAGCATTTCCAGAGGCCTCCATGGGAGGTTGAGATAGGGTAGAAAGCTTTTATTTTTGTGGAATTACTCCGTTTCCAAAATCCCATTTCTCTTAGTCGAGTCATAGAAGTGTCGTTGGGGTTTCAGTGAAGCTAGAAGCAGAGCCAGTGTCCAGTTTCCTTTCCATGTTGGAGCTGGGTCCAGTTCAGCATCAGGCTAGTTGCAGTCCATTAGTCCATTGTGTGTGGGCATGGCCATGCGGGCAAACGCAAAGTAGCCCCACAAACCTGGAGTCACACAAGTCCCAAGAGTCCCCAAAGCAGTAAGAGAGCCAAGAGCGAATTCCTTTGTTTAGGAAATTAAATATCCCAAATTCTGCACCCGTGTAGTGGCCATGCCCATTTTGTTCTCAGGTGTGACTGACAGTAAGCACCTTGCCTATGTCAGTCCAACTTACTGGGCATGCGCCTATCTCCCCTTTGTTAGTCCCCTGGGGAGTGTAGTAGCTTCCTGGCGAAGCTGCCCAATGACATGCCTATAATGTCTGGTCTTCCCTTTGCTCCTTTCCTGTTAATAATAACTAGTTAATTACAACAGTATCAAGATGATGCATTTAAAACGCATAAAATAGGCTTCTGTGAGTTGTATTATTATCAACAGTGTTCAACATTATTATTCCAATATTAACATTCTTAGCGTTCTAGCAACTATACGATATAAACTTGCTTCCACATTAAAGTGAATGACATTCACGGGCAAGACATGCATCAAAGGTCATTTCAAAACTTTTTAAATAATAAAAAAAAATCACTCATCTCACTTAAAGATGGGTCTCATGCTTAAAGCAGTGAGCACTTTTGAGAAGTTTTAAGAAACTGACCCTGCTTATCTTTTCATGCCAGGAACATGTCTTAATTCTTTGGCCAGCCTATAAGTTAGCTGCCCTTTGAAATAGGTGCCCACATTGTCCAATCAGTTGGTACACAGGAATTTACATGGTATAAAACATGGCTGCTCCTTTGCAAAGACTATGGATGGATTGCTTTCCCTCATAAGAAGTTGTGGGCATGGTAGCAATGTATTTGGCAAATCTACAACAGCACAAATGATATGATAGAAAATCAATGACTCAAGTTCCTTAAAGAGATGGGAGGGGATGGAACCAATAGCACTGTCAGAATTTGATTTGAACCAGAAGGAGAGGAGACCTTCTGAGGGGAGATTGGAAAGAGGATGCATATGGGTACATATGTTAGTCAGAATTCCTGGATTTCAAGCCTGGTAGCCTCAGTTTTTTGTTTGTTTGTTTGTTTGTTTCAGTGACCCAGTAGGCAAAAACTTGTCTGAAGAGATGGGGGGTGATGAGAGTTAAATCTTATCGAATTTGGAAATGGCTTAGATTTGCAACTGAGAGAAATGGGAAAGGATTTGAGAGAAACAAACATGTTAAAAGTTGGATGGTCAGCTCTGAGGATCTGAGAATGTAACACTTGAATCTGTTACATCTTTCAGAATGAAAAGGAAAAAGTTGAAGTCTGTTTTTCTACATTATTTTAATTTGTCTTAAGTAGAATTTTTTTTTTATTCAGTCCACTACATTAAAGAATAGGGTAGATTATTTTTGCCAGATTATTCATAGGACTTCTAAAATAGGCATTTTGTCTTAAGGTTGCGTGATGTCATACATGGTATTTTAAGTTACAGCTTTCTACTGTACTTTTAAAAGAATTTATTTTAAAAGATGGTTTTCTGGTGAAGAAACAATAAAGGAAAAAGCTAAATTCTGTGGGGAAAAGGATAGGCTGTCTATGTAAACACTAAGAACTTGGTTTCTGAAGTTAGACTTTCTGGTTTCTGAATTCCAGCTTCATCACTTAATATCTGTGAGATCTTGAGTAAGTTAAACTCTGTTGCCTCGATTTGTTTTCCTCTGTACAGTGGGGATAAAACCCACGTCTGGATTGTTGAGAGGATTAAATTGGACAGTTTACATAAAGACTTTATGTAGTTCCTGGCCCCGAGTTAGTTACTTTTAAGGAGCATTAGACTGTTTCTTATTATCACTTTTCTTTTAATCAAGTAAACTGAAAAAATGGCCAGTTTTTCATAGATATCGGTTATCTCACAACTACATTAAGCAACTAAGTTTCTCCCTAGGCCAAGAAGGTCTTAACTCTAGTATCTTATTTCCCTAACGTTTCATCTTTCCTTTGCCCGTTATTGATTTAGTGCTTTTTATTATTGCAGTAGAAGAAGCCAACAGAAGAGTGACCCATGTGCATGGACAGGGCTGGAGTGATTCTTGCTTCAACAGCAGTCCCTTCAACCTTGCTTGAATGGAGGCCGCGTAGATCACAAGCTCCGCAGACTACAAGATATCTTTGCTCAGAAGGAACCACAAGGTCACTGACAGCTAGATTCAACATTGTTCCCCCGCATATCAAAGCTAAGCAGAGTTGTAAATTGTTTCAACTTATGAATAGAACTTCACTGAACCACACCATAGCTATAGAGTTGACCTGCAGTTTTACCCTGCTAAGGGAGTTATTTTGTAGTGACAAAACTTTTCTTCTGGTGGCCTGACACATCATGGGACTTGGAGGTTGGGAATTCTTCCTTCCCATCAAATGTTGGTTCTAAATCCACAGAACTGTTTGAGAATCCAGATACAAAATGATGGTAAGCTTAAATTACCAATATTTTAATGTTTTTTCTATTCCCATTTAATAGGGGTAAACTGTAGCTATTTACTTTCTAATCCTGTTCTATAATTATTTTCCGACACAAGCCAGTATTATTGCTCAGAAACACAATTTCCTCCAGAAGTTCCCTTCATCCAAAATATATTGTTATCCCATCACAAAGATGAATAATGGGTTCCAAATCCTGGTAAAAATCCCTCTTCTCCCCTGTATTTTTTAAGAACAGGCATAGAAAAAAGCAGTTGTGTTTTAACATCTTACATTTTTCTGAAATGTGAGGAAAAAATTTCCAAAATTAAAAAATCTCTTTGGGCTATTGGATTCTTAAGACAATCTGTTAGTTAGCTGAGTTTAAAGTCATCAATGTTTCCTTGTCATTCCAAACAATGGAGAGCTTTCAGAACAGTTCTTTATTAGTTCTTCATCAGGAAAGCTTTCTTTCCTTAGTCCATTAATGTCAATTTCATGTCTCACTAGCCCATGCATGAACCAATCTTCTTTCAGTTTTTGTTCACTATTTTATTGTAGCATAAATCCATGTCATTGCTTTGCCTATATTATATATAGTAAATATTAAAACCAAACAATATCTAAGCTAGAAAAGCAATGTAGGCACCTGTGGACTCACTTACTTGGCTGCAGGCACTTTTGTAAACAGGACAGTTCACATTCCAGCTGAAGCAAACATTATGGTTACACAACACCCCTCATTACCCCACTTAATCTTTCTTGTATTACATCTTACACTGCCTTACTGATTCTGTACTCCAAGAGACAAAACAGTTGCTGCTAAGTCATTCATTGGTTAATACTTTAGATATGGGGGCCATGATGAAAACTTTCTGATTCCAAAGTATTCATCCAGTATCTAACTTTAAGTAAACTGTCAGCAACTATTTGTTGAAAAGATGTATAAATGAATGAATACATGAAAATAGAACAAACAGGCAGTGTGGGCAGCTAAAATGTGGAAATGATACTGCTTTGCATTTATTTAGTGTAATTATCTTTCCAGCTATTCCATGACAGATATTTATATCATGTTGTAGATGTGGAAATCGAGACAAATAGAGGTCAGATGCCTTACTTAAAGTCATCCAACAAGGATTTAGTAGAACCAGTTCTAGAATGTGATTGATAGAAACATAGCTACTTTTGTGTTTCTTTTCCTGATACCTACCCTATTCTTGACAAATGAAAAGTGACTTCAAAAACTGTCACGTAGCTAGGGCTAAAAGGATAAATGTTAACACATAATACTATAGCAGTTACTATTGGTTAACTATCCAACATTTATTCTTCCTTTTACCTTGGAATCTAGGTGTAGGTATTCTGAAGAAGATCTCTCTATCTCCGTATCAGGAAAAAATCATGATTGTTTTAAACTAGTCCTGGTAACTATATTTTTCTTACCAGTTTTGGTTTAGAAAGAGCATGTGACTCAGTTCTGGCCACTGAGCTATGAGGGTGTTTACAGGGCAGTTTGGAAGTTTTTTGGTCTGAGAAAGAGACAAATGATGGGATGATGAACAGTCAACACTTTATAGGGTCAATGAATTGGAGGTCCTATTGAGTCAAAGGAATATTGCAGTTTGCACAATAAAATATGCTGGAAGGAAAGGAGGTGATATTCATTGAATTAAATGCTTAAAGTGAATATTGTGAAGGTGGGGCAGTAGTTGTTATTGATTAAATGAGATTATGAGATTAAGAAAGGTTAGCCAAGGCAAGTTATAGAATACAAATCTTTTAGACGGAGGTAAAAAAAAGAAATTAAGAGGCCAAGAAGTCCTAGCTCAAACCTTTTGTTCTTGGGCCTAAACTGTTCCTACTGGATTTAAGCCTATTAGCTTCTCACCTTCCAATAGTCAATACACTCCTCTCCTCATCCCAATCCTAAAAATCCCTAGCTCACTCAGCAACTGCTCCATGAATCTTACTAAAATAAATTATTTTACATAGACATTTTGTTTTTAATAGATACTATTGATGATTTGATTCGAAAAGATGAAAGAGATTGACAGCACAGAGATGCCAAAAATTTTAAATATAATCTTTAAAAACTTCATTCTTAAAATGTGAAAGGAAGATACACACAAGGAAAAGGCAACTGCCCTGGACACTGGCATGTCCAAATGTAATGACTAGACCTGCTGCAGCCATCTTGCAACCAGAGAGGAGGCAACTTAAAAACAAAGTCAACACAATGAAATGACTCAGAAGAAAGTGGAAAGACCTGAGTACTTGTTGATGCTATTGAGCTGATGAATTAAACCTGGTGTATACCAACTATGGGCTTCTTTTCATCTAGATTCTAAGGTAATACTGTAAATGTCTTTATTGCTTAAACCAGTGTTTCATTATTTTCTGTAGAAAGCCTCCCAATTCAGGTAAGTATCCATTAACCACCCCTTAGTCCAAAGGATGTTTTTTCATGCTTTTCTGATTTCTGCTGAAGTTATTTTTTGAGAATAACAGAAAATCCCATCTCCTTAAATATGACCAAAGGTCTCTAACTCAGAAAAATCATGATTATGAAACATAGGAAGCACTGGGTAGGTGGGTTGAATGAGGTACCTGGCGATGGAGGGGATCCTGGACCAGGTAAGGTGAAGTGTGAAAGCTAAGCAAGAGATGCAGATGAAAATCAGAGAGAAAGTAACTCTTCTGAGCAGACCTTTAGAAAGCCAGTTTTAGGGACATACGAGCTACATCTTTGGGGAGAATTGTGGAACCCACATTATAGTAATCGTGTCAATTGCATCCATGATCTTTTCTCAAGAGGGGAAAATGAGTGTTTATAGGATGACAGGTGGTTCTTGTCATTCTTGTTTTCTTCAGAAACAGACCAAATTCTGTCATGTCTCATGATGACATGATAATCTAGAAATGAAAGGCTTGATTTCAATTTTTCCTGTAAATACTCAAGAGGCCCATGGTATTGCTCTCTTTCAGTCTGGCACAAGTCTCACAAAATAGAAGATCGCCTTAACATTTAATGTAGAGTAATTCTCACCCATGGCCTCTTGCCTTTTCCAAACATCTTCATAAAGACGTAGTAATATTCTACTGTGAATTATATGAGAGCTGTCCATAGGGATTTAAACAGTAAATCTAACAAATAGGCTGCTCTTGGCCTCAGGACTCAGAAGTACTTATTTATTCTTACAGTTTAGGCATTTGAGGAAATATTAATTCTTGAATATATTATATTCAATTAAGTTTGAAGCCATAAAGAGGAAGGAAATAATAAGATTAGAGCAGAAATGAATGAAATAGAGAATAGAAAAAAATAGTCATTAAAAAAAAAGCGTTCTTTGAAAAGACCAATGAATTAACAAATCTTTAGCTGGATTAACTAAGGAAAAAAGACAGTATATTCAAATTACTAAAATCAGAAATTAATAAGGGGACATTGATGAAGGTAATAATGTAGATAATGCTATCATTTATAATTCATTTGCCAAATACAAAGGATTGTACTAAAACCTTTACATCCTTTATTTCAAAAACCTTTACAACCTTTTTAGATAGGTATCATTATCCTCTTTTACAAATGAGAAAACAGGCTCTTTGAGGTTAAATAATATATTTAAGGTCATGCAGTCATGGTATAAATATGCATGTTCTGAAAGAGAATGGAAAAGTCAGGAGTTATTTTTAAATTTCTATGATAGAGTAAGGGTAATTGTTATCAATAAGAAAATGAAAGTCTGAGCGAAAGAAAGAAAGCAGAAAGAGACATTGGGTTAGACAATTTTCTTTATTCAGGATAGCTAGGCTGTAGTTCAGACAAGAATTCAGGAAAGCAATAGGCAACCAGACATTTCTTTGTGTATATTTGAAAGTTCATAAACCTTAGATGTTCTTAAAAGAAGAATACATTTTTTAAAATTTCTGGAAAAAAAAGAATGTTCTGTTCTATATTAAAACTTCTTCATAAGAACATTGTTACATTGTACATTAGGCACAAATTTTGTTTATTGAAGTTTTTTGTAATTTTTATTATTCATACAACTGGAATATTTAATGTATATTTTACATGTATGTCTTGCAAGTAATAGCAAATCTACTGGACATTCTTTGAAGCAAGAAACAGTGGTGCTTAGTACACGGCTACTTTTATTTATTATCTCTGTTTTGCATAGGAATACAATAAAACATTTAAATGTATTTCTTTATTGATTTCAGAGAGGAAGAGAGAAGGAAAGAGAGATAAAAACATCAGTGATGAGAGAGAATCATTGATCGGCTGCCTCCTGCACACCCCCTACTGGGGATTGAGCCCGCAACCCAGGCATGTGCCCTTGGCCGGAATCGAACCTGGGACCCTTCAGTCCGCAGGCTGATGCTCTATCCACTGAGCCAAGCCGGCTAGGGCAATAAAACATTTTTAAGAAACTCAAAATTGTAAAGGAGAATGGATAAAAATATTTGATGATTTAGGATATAGATGAGGGATAGCTGTTAGTTCTTTTAAAAACGTCTTTCTTGATTTTTTATATTTGCACTAATGACTGCAGTGGAGTTTCTGCCCTCAGATAAAATCCCAATGATAAGGTATCTGTTCTTGACATGAGCAAATAACTGGAGTGTTTAGGATTAAACAAAATACCAAATGTTACAGGATAGAGGGGGTGAGGAAAGTGTAAAGTGATAAGAGGCTCATCAGCTTAGAGTGGTTGTTTTACTGTGATACAGCAGAGTAGAAACTTGTCAGAAAGGAAAGGTGACAGGCATAAGATAAATACATGTCCACATTATCCAGTGTCAAGAGCTGAACACACTATTTTTGAATTTTTATCCTCAAGATGCAAATAACAGCCTTATGAGAAATTGAATGTTAAATATATATGTATTAAACTGATTTTGCTTAATGGCACATATGTTCATTCATTTATTTGATAGATAGTTACTGAGTGGCTACTTGGTAGTTTTTAGGCTTCAGAAGTAACCCAAAATTGTAGTTTCATTTCAGTCATTTTACCTCTTTCTACTGTTCTTGTTCTTGACCCTTCAGCTTTCCCTCTCCTCCATCAGGCTTTGGAACTTAAAAACTAATAACATTAAGGCTCCAGTGAAAGGAGTAACAGGGTATTTAGAGTGCTCTCAACTTTACAAAACTATCAGTGGAGTAGAACAAATATAATTCGTTAATATTTTAAACAATATTTGACTAAATTATTGCATTGCCTTGAGGTCTTGAAGGATACAATATACCATGAAGGAAAAGCAGAAGGTGCTTATCAGAGAAGTGGATTAGGAGAGCCTATTTTATCTTTGAAACATTAGAGCAGCCCCTTTAGAGAAGTGTCATTTGCCCTTGCCCAATCAGTCTACAGGCACAAGGGGCCAACGTATAGTTTGACAAAGTCAGATTACTGACTCATTACAATGAGGGAGATCACACAGAAGAACTGTGAGGCATCTGACCAAACAACAAAAAGATAAAAGTTATTGTACAATTTTGGGTAAGAGTGGAGTTTGGGCGACATTTAAATGAAGCAGTGTTTGGATAGACTCAAAGTAAATCATAGGTCAACATCAGGTCTGGGAAGGATCCAGGGTCGTTTTTTTGGAAACTACATAAAGTTAAAGTAGATGTGGACTGTTGTGTCCAGAAGCCCCTTATCTTAAGCTCTTTCCCTGGTTGAAAATTGAGGCTAATTCTCTATGGGGTTCTCAAGAACCCCACTCGCAGACAAGAGTGGAATGTTTTATTCTTAATAATATAGTTTTAAACAACAAAGCTTCTGATAGTCTATGGTTTTAAAGAAAAGAAAAGTTTCCTTAGCAAGTAAGAAGATATTAATCACTGAAAGAAGGGATTGTTATAACTTTTTATAGAATGTTCTTGGAAGAAATAGTTTCCTATAAACTTTGCATCTGGCTTTATCTATGTTTATTATACCAGCCTGATGAGTGATGGAACAGATATTTACTTTCTAAGTCCCAGCTAATACTTAGTCTAAAAGAGATAACCAGCCAAGAAAGTGGAAAAGAACTTCCCAGGCAGAAAAAAACAAGTGTGAAAGTTGTGAACTTGAAAAGATCTTGATACATTCAAGAACTTAAAAGCTAATAGAACAGTAACACAGACAGCAAACGACTTGAAATGAGATGGGAGAGATAGGCAGAAAACTGTTAGTCTTATTAAGGATTTTACATTTTATCAAAGAGCAAAGAGAAATTACTAAAGGGTTTTAATCAGAGGAGTTCCCCAATCTTGATGTACTACGATGGAGAATGCCTTGTTGGGGCAGTAGTGGAAAATGGACTCATTGCAAAAGAAAATGGTGGGTTTTTTTGTGTTTTGTGTATGTGTGTGTGTGTGTGTGTGTGTGTGTGTGTGTGTGTGTGTGTGTTTATAACACCAGTGAAGGACAAAAATCAACAGATTGTCTTAGAGTTTGAAAATGTACGGTGGGAAAGAGAGAAGAATTAGGAATAATTTCCAGGTTCTGGCTTGAACATCCAGATAGTGGTGTGGTGTCATTGAGATATAGAAGATGGGAGGCGAGGCAGGGTTGATGGGAAGAAAAAGAGTATAGCTTTATACTTCTTAAATCTGTGTGACATTCAAGTCAGGATGGCATGAATACACTTAAATATATGGACCTGGGGTTCAGAAGAGAGGTTTGAGTTGCTGATAAATATAGAGTTGTAAGTGTATATTTGAGGCCATGGAAAAAGAAAGTAACAAAATTTCAAAAAGAAAAGAGAATTCAAGACAAAGCCCAGGAGAACTACCAAATCCAGAAGTAGACAGAAGAGCCAACCATAAAAATGGGCCAAATTCATTTATCAAAAGCTTGGTTTGATGCTTGATGTTTCCTCAGTTTTACCTGTCATCAATTTCTTAGATGAATAAGGAGTCAAAACATCTGAAGCAAGGGAGGAAAGACTTTTCCTATACTTTCTTCGATTCTGTGGATGGGCCTGAGAGCTAAACAGACAAAAGATCGGTTAACAGGAAAAAAGCATACAAATTTTATTTTATGTTAATGTTTTTATGTGGCACAAGAGCCTTTGTAGAAAATAAATGAAGACCCAAGCCTAAGAGTTTATATACTTTTTCAACAAAGAACAATAAATTGATAAGACAGACAAAAAAAGGAGGTTTGGGCAGTAAATTATAGGAAAGTGACTAGGAGAGATATTGATGCCATTGTAATAATCCTATTACTATTTAACAGAAAAGGAGCAAGGGAAGACCAAAAATATAGACATGCCATTTATACAGCTTTGCCAAAAAGATGCATGTAACATTCTCCAAGTCTATTCCCTGCTGATCAGTGGGGGAAGGGACTGGATAAAGGCTCAATTTTGACGCATGCCCAGTAAGATCTGAGTGACATGGGAAGGTGCCTACCTGTTTGCCCATCAATCACACCTGAAAGCAAGTCAGTGGCCACTGCAAGCAGCCAAAACCTGAATATTTAAAACTTCCAAACAGCCTGGCCAGCGTGGCTCAATTGTTAAGCATCAACCTTTGAACCAGGAGGTCATGGTTCAATTCCAGTCAGGGCACATGCCTGGGTTGCGAGCTCAATCCCCAGTGAGGGATGTGCAGGAGGCATCTGATCAATGATTCTCTCTCATTATTGATGTTTCTATCTCTCTCCCCCACTCCCTTCCTTTCTGAAACCAATAAAAAAATATATTAAAGACAAACAAACAAATAAAAACCTTCCAAACAAAGGAAGTGCCCTCTCTTCTCTCCTGCGTGCTGGGTTCCTGGCTCTCCTATGACAGGGGAATACATTCCCCTGTGCCCACGTGATGCTCAGCCATGTTGGACTCTACACTGGACTAATAGACTTGAATTAGCTTGGATGCTGAACTACACCTGGCTGGAACATGGAATGGAAGCCCTGGACACTGGCCCTGTTTTTGGCTCTGCTGAACACCCAGCTGCCCCTCTTTCAGGACTGGCTTGGGGGAAATGGGACATTGGAAACGAAAAAGTGTAACTCCACATCAATAAAATTTTCGACCACCTCTCATCATCCTGTGGGGGCTTCTGAAAATTCTTATTTCAGCAGTGCCTCAAGAACCCCACTTCCATGAACAACAGAGAAGTTCCACTTGTGTACTACTCCAGCAGCAATATGAGGGAAACTAATAAAAGATAGAGTTATTTTAGTAGGTTTGTTTGTATAGATTCACCTTAACATCAACTCTCCATCTCTGATAATAAGGATATTCTTCTCTTCCAGGAACAGAGAAGACACCTTTCTTATGGGAAATTTTGTAACCTGCTTTTAGGTAGGAAGGAAGACATCAGAGAACCCTTTCAGCATCTGCTGTTTCTCAAGTGCCTTCAGCTCAAAATAATCAATATGCCAAAGTGGTATGTTTTGGGGTGGCATATACTGATCCCCTCCACTGGTTTTAGAGTAGGTTTTTCAATGTGAGGTATGGATGGCCTCATTGGGATTGGGCAAACCTTAGGATTGTTGGACATGGGGAGGCAAGGATTATGAAGCCAGTCTTCAAGGGTGAATAGTGATTTGAAAAGGCAAGTTTGAGTAGATCTATTGTTCTGAAATGAGGGCTGTTTACACTGATGAGGGCTATATAAGTAGTCATTTGTTCAGGTAAAAAGAAAGTTCCCAAGACAAATACAGAAATTATTTATAACTTTACTTTCTTGGGCAGGAATTTCCTGGTATAGTAAAGTCATGATAATGCAAACAATTCCTAATCTGATTAAGCTGTGTGGCTTTAGGTTGTCTTAGTTCTCATCATAGCCTCTATAAAATTCATCTAATTTACAAGTCATCTTTTTCTGTCTTGATATTTAATTTGTGGTTCTATATTTTAAACATTAATTTCCTTTGAAAGGGTACATGGGGGATATACTTATGAATTCTCAAATATTAAAAAAAATTATTGTGCCCTTGCATATAAATGATAATTGGAATTTTATTTTGCCTTTTTGGATCATAATTATTTCATTATCTTTTAACTTCCACAGTCTTATGCTTATGTGATGTTTCGGTTTTGTTTTCTTCTCTTTTTTATAATGTGGTCACAAATTCCCTACACGTGCTAATTACAAGTTATCTGTGGGCTCCCTTCCATTCATTCTTTGCATGAATTTTAATTTTCCCCTGTGTTCTTCTAGACAGTCCCTGATGACATTTTTAACTCTTTAGCTGTTGCCACAC